AAAATAAAGATTAAAAAAAAGATAGGTAAAGAATATAAATGTACAGGTTATACAAATGATTGACAAGCAACAGGACTTCATTGATAATCAGAGCATTCATATTAAAATGAGTCATCAACTCTCACACAAATGGTAAACTGACTTTTGACAAGGGTGCCAAAACCATTCACTAGCAAAAGGATGTCTTTATGACACATGGTTATGGGAAAGCTGGATGTCCATATGCAAAGAATGAAACTGAACCCTGTTTTACCACGATATACATAAGTTAATTTAAAGTGAAGAACGATTTAAATTTAAGAAGTAAAACTACACAACTCTTAGAAGAAAATGTTGGTGAGCCTGGGAGTGAAGTCAGTAGTAGAGCACTGAACTAGCATTATCAGCATGCATAAGGCCCTGGGTTTGATCCCCAGAACAACAAATCAAAAAAAAGAAAAGAACACTTTGGGAAAAATCTCCATAACACAGGATTTGGCAATAATTTCATCAATATGACACCAAAAGCACAAGAAACACCACAGGATAAATTAGACTTAATCAGAATTTAAAACCTTTTGCACAACAAAGGACATGCTATCAAAAGAGTAAAAAGCCAAGCACAGTGGTGCATGCATGTAGTCCCACCTACTCAGGAGGCTGAGGTAGGAGGATCACTTCAGACCAGGAGTTCAAGACCAGCATGGGCAACATAGCAAATATGGTAGGGAAGAGTGAAAAGAAAAACTAGAAAATACTTGTAAATCATTTATCTGATAAAGAATCTAAATATCCCTTATACATGAAATACACAAACACAATTCAAAAATACACAAAGGCTAGGTGACACATGACTGTAATCCCTGCAACTCACAAGTTCAAAGCCAGTCTCAGCAATTTAGCAAGACACTATCTCAAAATAAAAATGGATGAGGATTTAGCTCAGTGGTTAAGCACCCCTGAGTTCAATTCCCAATTACCTGCCCCCCAAAAAATACACAAGGGTCTTAAATAGATATTTCTCAATAAGCACATGAAAAGGATGCTTTGCATGCCTAGTCATTAAGTAAATGTAAAGCAAAATATCATTTTGCCCACTAGGGTGTAGGATAATTATTACCTTTTTATTAATTTAATTTCTGTAGTACTAGGATTGAATTTAGGCCCTTGTGTATGCTAGTCAAGCACTCTACCACTGAGCTACACCCTTAGCCCATTTTATTTTGAGGCAAGGTCTCATTAAGTTGCTCAAATTGGCTTCAAACTTGCAATTCTCCTGCCTCAGCCTCCTAAATAACTGGGAATATAAGTGTGCACAACCATGTTTGGCTTAAAGAAAAACAAGAAGTGTTGGTGAGGATATGGAGAAATCAGAACCCTTTTGTGTAGCTGGTAGGAACATAAAATGGTGCAATTACTAAAGAAAACTGCCACAGTCTGACTGGGCACAATTCACGAGCCACTTGTCAAGCAGGAACGAACTTTATTTTTTAGCACACACGCATGCCGCACCTCAGGAGCTCTCCAAGAGCTCAACCGCAACCACCCGCACTTCCAGGGAGCACTCCCCTGGAACTTCCAGGTCATTTCCCGCTTTTGAGGCAGACTACCAGGTCGCGTGGGCAGAGCCAAAAGAGTCCCCCAATGAGCAGCTCTGTGGTCTGAAAGGGCGGGAAACAGCCTAATGAGCGTCACTGCAGAGGAGCCAATCAGCTGGAAGTTTGCTGGGGCCGCTTCCGCTGAGGCTCTCAACAGAAAACAGTTTGGTGGTTCTTCAAAAAGTTAAACATAAACTGAATGAAATAAAGTAGTGACAAAAAGACAAATACTATGTTTTCACTTATTTAAGTTATCTAGACTAGTCAAACTTCATAGTAACAGAAAGTAGAATAGTAGTTGCTAGGGGTTGGGGGAAGGGAGAAATAAGGCATAGACTATAATGGTATAGAGTTTCGGTTTTGTAAGAAGAAAAATTCTAGAGTTTGCACAACAATGTAAATATACTTAACACTGCTCAACTGTACACTCAAAAATGGTTAAAACAACCAGATGCGATGGCACATGCATCCCAGCAGCTCGGAAGGCTGAGGCAGGAGGATCGCAAGTTCAAAGCCAGCCTCAGCAACTTATCGAGGTCTTAAGCAACTCAACAAGACCCTGTCTCTAAATAAAATATACAAAGCGGGTGAGGATGTGGCTCAGTGGCTAAGTGCCCCTGGGTTCAATCTCCGGTATAAAAAAAAAAAAAAATGGTTAAAACAGCAAATTTTATGTTACATGTATTCTACCACAATTATTTTTTTTAAAAAAAAATTAAACATAAAGTTACTAAGTAACTCAGGAATTCCACTTACAGGTTAAAAAGAACTGAAAGCTGAGACTCAACTCAAAGTAAACTCAAATATTTTTATGTCAATGTTCACAGAGCATTATTCACAATAGCCAAAATGTGGAAACAACTTAAAAGTCCATAAATAAATGGATGGTTTAATGTGGTAAGTACTTGTAATACATTATTATTCAGTCATCACCTGAAACATTTTGAAAAGTAAATCAATTCTAATACAAAAGGACAAACATTGTATGAATCCCCTTTTATGAAGTATCTCAAAAAGGCAAAGTCAGGAAGAAAAGGGGAAACAACAATTTATATTGGTCAAATTATCTTATTATATAGAGTGTATACCTGAATATACAGCAACAAATCTCACTATCATGTACAACTACAATGCACCAATAAAAAAAAAAGGGGGGGGGGGTAAAAACAAGATTAGGCAAACCCATAAAGACTGAAAATTAGAAAGGAGGTTACCAGGGGCTGGGAGTAGGGGAAAATGGTGAGTTATTGTTTAATGGGTACAGAGTTTCTGCTTGGGATGATAAAGTTCTGACAACAGATCATGGTAATGTTTGCACAAGACTGTGAATGTAATTTATGATACTGAATTATAACTTAAAAATGGTTAACAAGGAGCCAGGCACTGAGCTACTTTGGAGGCTGAAGCAGGAGAATCTCAAGTTTGAGGCCAGCCTCAGCAGCCTAGCAAGACCCTGTCTCAAAATTCAAAATTTAAAAAGGAATGGGGAGCCAGGCTTAGTGGCAAACACCTGTAATCCCAGCAGCTTGGGAGGCTGAGGCAGGAGGATTGCAAGTTCAAAGCCAGCTTCGGCAACTCAGTGAGACCCTGTCTCTAAATACAAAACAGGACTGGGGATGTGGCTCAGTGGTTGAGTGCCCCTGAGTTCAATAACCAGTACCAAAAAAAAAAAAAAAAAAAACAGGGCTGGGGATGTAGCTCACTGTTAAAGGACCTTTGAGTTCAATTCCCAGCACTGATGTGAGGGGAGATTATGTTATATTATATACATATATGTGTGTGTGTGTGTGTATTTATTTTACAAGATAAAACTAAGAGGAAAAAGTAGTAGGAAAAGAACTGGAGATGCTATGTAGAGACAATTATTCTATGGAGTAATTTTGGTCCAAAAGAGAAGGCAGAGAGAAGTATAGCTAAAGTCAAAAGAAGAAGAGTGTTTTCCTTAAACATTTTTTAAGGTACTGATAGGAATAATTAACAAAGAGTAAAAATATTACACAGGAAAGACTGGAGAATTTCTTAGGTCATTTTGGTAGGTAAATGGAAATAGGAATTAAAATACAAAGAAAAATATGAAATTAGAGAAGAACTCAGCTAGTTCTTCCCAGGGTAAAAGTTAAGTAAGCATATAAATATGTGGGTTGGAAGAAGCTCCCAAGAGCTGGGTATGGTGACTCACCTATAATTTCAGCTGTTGAGGAGACTTGAGGCAGGAAGGTCCAAGTTCAAGGCCATCCTGGGCAATTTAGCCAGACTCTATCAAAATTTTTAAAAATCTGGGCTGGGGATTTAGCTCAGTGGTAGAGCATTCATCTAGCACGTACAAGGCCTTGGGTTCAATCCCCAGTACCAAAAAAAAAAGATGAGTTGGTAGCTATTTGTAGTGATGGGTGTTTGTGCAAGTTCTCTTCTGTTTGCTTCTAGTTTCTCAGCAAATCATAAGTAAGATCATCACTGAAAAAGAGGACTAGAGAGGAAATATTGGGATTTGATGAGAGAAGAAAAAGTATGAAATAATCTTTTAAGAGAGAGAATAATGGGCTGGGGATGTGGCTCAAGCGGTAGCGCGCTCGCCTGGCATGCGTGAGGCCCGGGTTCGATCCTCAGCACCACATACAAACAAAGATGTTGTGTCCGCTGAAAACTAAAAAAAAATAAAAATAAATAAAAAATTTAAAAAATTTAAAAAAAGAGAGAGAATAAATCAGGGAAATAGGATTTCTTGGGAGCCTTAAAGGTTCAATTCTATTAAAAATAAGTATACAAGCCAGGTAATATGGCAGGTGCCTGTAGTTCCAGCTCTTTGGAAGGTTGAGACAGGAGAATCACCTCAGCCCAGGAGTTCAAGACCAGCCTGGGCAATAATTGAGACTCCAACTCTAAATAAATAAAGCTAACAGAGATTGAGGGTGTAGCTCAGTGATAGATCACACATTTATTATGCATGAGCCCTGGGTTCAATCCCTAACACAAATACAAAACACGCAAAATAACACGTAGTTTTGTTTTTTATTGGTGCAATGTTTTTGTCTATATATGTAATTTTATATACGCATGTGTGTATACCACATGTATACAACACAGTAAAGAGAATAGAAATATATACAAATGGTTAAAAATGGTTATTATTGGAGACTATACATAAACCTATGCACATACATACATGGGTAGGGCAGAGAGGAGTGGGAGAAACTTCTATATTCTTTGAATCTTTGATTATCATGTATTATTTTCATAATTACAACAAAATATCTTTGTAAGTTAACTTGTAGTTAATAAATAGTTTCAGAGAGGAGTTTAAAACATGCTCAAAATGCATAGCACCTGGACTAGGCAAAACCTATGGCCTACTTAAACACAAATATGAAGTCTGCAGTGAATGTGACCATCAGAAAAATAACAGGAAACTGAGACGACACTCACCTTGAACACTTCAGAAAAGAAACCAGACCCTATTTTTTCACAGGTGAAGTCATCCAAACGAGTCAGTCTGGAAAAGGCACTTATAAGAGCTCTGTATGAGGATGGCCAAACTCTTCCCACCTGAGTCATGTTTCCATCCCCTCCACCACCACCTTCAAACTCTTCAAGACGTTCCACACGTGGGGGAAATCCTGCAATTGAATTCCGTTTGCTCCGATCCATAGTCTCAATAATCACTTTCTTTTATTAAGAAAGAACTCCATGCATAGTATTTGTTGAATTTTACTTCTCTTCCAGTTTGACACTAAATAAGAGACCAAAAAAAAAAAAAAACTCATTAAAATCATTAATGAATAAATACATGCAAATCAACTTCATAAATTTCACTTCAATGCAAAAATATTTCCTTTCATACGTACCCTTCTTCCCCATACTGGAATTGAGTCCATGCATACTCTTCCAATGAGCTATATCCCCAGCCCTTTTGTATTATTGTTATTATTATTATTAAGCCAAGCTCTCACTAAGTTTCCCAGACTGTCCTGAAACTTGCTATCTTCCTGCCTTAGCCTTCCCAGTAACTGGAATTACACTTATGCCAGTCCACCTGGATCCTTTCACATTTTACCTCCTTATTTTCAGATCTAAAAAATACTTTTATGTGTTTACCTTCAAAAAACACTGATAAGAGCCAGGTCTGGTGGCAAACGCCTGTAATCCCAGCGACTCAGGAGGCTGAGGCAAGATGATCACAAGTTCTAAGTCAGCCTCAATAACTTAACTCAACAAGGTCAGCCAACAATTTAGCAAGACCCTGTCTCAAAATAAAAAATAAAAAGGACTAGGAATGTGACTCAGTAGGTTAAGTGCCCCTGGATCAATCCCTGGTACAAAAAAAAAAAAAACTGACACACTTAAAATCCAAGACGTAGTCACTCTTTAACATGAATAGAACATAAGGTGATCAATTACATTCTAAGTAACAAAATAACAATGATAATATCCATCTTTCATTAACCACTGACTTTCTAGGAAAGAGTATTAAAACATGGGCTGGGGTGGTCGCTCAATGGCAGAGCATGCACTTAGTCTAAGAGCTTTAACCTATATCATGTCATTTGATTCTCAAATATTTCATGATAAGGATTATTATGCTCATTTCACAGAGAGATCATGTAACTACAGAGTCACTAAATGGTAGAGAGAAAATTAAAATCCAAGACTGATTCAAAAACCTGTGCTCCTACCAATACCCCTTGCATCATCACATAATGTTATCTTAATTTGAAAAATTAAGTCCAAATATTTAAAAAACAAAGAAACTTCAAAATTATGTTATTTAATTTAAAAAGAAAACTATATCCAAAAGCAATCTAAAAATTCACTATTAATTATACAACACAGTCCAGTAGAAATGACAATAGAAGAGTTCATTCCACCTGGCATTTACATAACTAAAGAAAAAAGCTCAAGCTCACTTTTTCTTTTAGCCATTTCTCCATACTTTCATTTTTTCCCCATAAGAACAGATTATAAGTGTTCTAAACAAAATACAAAATTGATTTTGTGGGTTTTATTTTTGTGTGGAGGGATGGTCTTCTTTGATTTTCACTGCAAAATACAACCTGGTTTGTTGTTGGTTTTTTAAGCTCCAGGATTTTTACTAACATTTTCTCATTTAAACCTTAAAACATACCACACCAAGGTATTATACAAAAAAGAAAAAGAAAAGTGGACTCTGGAGATTACGTAACTTGTCTAGCATACACAGCTGGCAGAACCAAAATTGGAACCAAGCTCTAACCAGCACCAAAGCTCAAAATTTTCCCATTTCATTATTCCTTAGTTTAATATTTTCCACTATAAAAAATGTAAGGAGTTAATTAGTCATCTACATAGAAAAAAAAAAGACAAAGACTTAAATATAGAGGAAGTCCAGGCCTAATGTAATTGGGAGAAACAGAAAAGAAGGGGAAAAATGTAATTTTAGAAAAATAAGCCATATTAACAAAAAAAATGAAAGCAAAGAAAAATAAGCCATATTAAAGTGAAACTGAATATATAAAACATAGTTGTGTACTAAATTAACTAACTGATTTCACAGGTTTTTCATCTATTGACTTTCTATTGTTTGAGATATATTTCATTTTTAATGAAATACATTATTTACCTCCTGTGCCCTCAGGGTTCTTGGGGGTGGCAGATCATAGTTCTCTATATTAAAGCATGAGAGACAAAACTGCTTGTTGCAGCTCAACAGGTCTTGTTTTATATTCTTAGCTAAGTAGGAGGAGGTAAGGAATTGTTAACTGCAACTGAGCAGGTTTCATAGAAGCCCTGTTACAAGTTTTATAACAGCATAGTACATAGTCAATTTTGATATTTTTATTTTTAAAAAAATGTGTTGTATTTTTGCTCATAGCACTTTTCAAAACGGAAAAACTATTTTTTTATTTTATGCTTAAGAGAAACTCTTACATATAAGTACAGAAGACCTGAACAAGAATTTTCATTTCACCATTCTATGTAATAAGGGGAGGAGAAGAGATTTAACAACTGAAAGTTCATCCATAAGAGCAATAGATAAATTACAGTATATTTATCAGTAAACTATATAGGGTTCACATAATAAGTTATACCTAACAATATAGATATAGTTCAAAAGCAATGTTGAATAGGGTAAAAGAGCAAGTTTGGTTAGCGGTATCACTAAAATTTCATTCAAAAAAGTTTTAAGTTACCAAAAAAACTGGACGACTATTCCCTATGGTGTATCATTTTTATTTTTAAAATGTATTTTTTTAAAAACATACAATACGTATTTATATTATTATAAAGAGATAGGATAACATAATAACGAACATCATGGCCTATAAAACAAACAATCTCAGTTCAAATAAGAATTTAACTTGCACTTCCAGAAATGGTGGCACATGCCTGTAATCTCAGCAATTTGGGAGGCTGAGGTAGGAGTATCAAAAGTTTGAGGCCAGGCTGGGGTTGTGGCTCAGTGGCAGAGCTCTTGCTGAGCACATGTGAGGCACTGGGTTCAATCCTCAACACCACATAAAAAAAGAAATTAAATAAACTTATTATGTCTGGCTACAACTAAAAAAAAAAAAGTTTGAGGCCAGCCTCAGCAAATTAGCAAAACGTGTCACAAATTTTTAAAAAGAACTGGAGATGTAGCTCATTGGTAAAACACCCGGGGGTTCATTCCCTAGTACTAACAAAAAAAAAAAAAAAAAAGGAAGAATTTAACTTGCAGCTATATGGATGCAGACATGTTATTTAACCTTTCTACCTATCCATAAAATGAAAATAAAAGCAGTAGCTACATTATGGTATTTTATATATATTATATATAATATATACAGTATATATGTTCTTTTAATCCTTATAATAAACATAGGGCTACTGATTAGATGAACAGTCCCTGCCAAAGAGTAAATACACAATTTCTATTAAAATATTATAGATAAATAGATTGATTTATAGTGAATGTCTAAAAACATGAACTAGAAAAACACTAAATTCATGATAGTAGTTGCCTTAATGGGGAAAATAGAGAAATAAGGAAGGAAAACAAAGACTTCAGCTACAGCAATAATGTTTAGTTTCCTTTTATTCAAAAAATAAACCTATAACAACACAACTGTTTATTATTTATTTTTTGAAATACTAATTAATTCTAGGTGGTATTTATTATTATTGCACTCTTTTCTAGATTTAAAATGCTTTCATTTTTAAAAAAAGGTTTAACAGTCTATTGCTAATACAAAGCTCTGTAGTATACTAAGGCCAAGAAAACTGAAAATAATTTGGCAAATAAATAGCATCCCAGTATGCAAGCCAAGTCTTCAGATTTTTAAACTATTATTCTCCAACAGTTCTACTACAGTTTTTTGGTTCAGGGAGTATTTATATCTTAGGCTAAAACCTCAAAACACTGGGGAAATTTCTGGATAGCCTAACTTACTCAAGTTCATAAATTTAAAATGTAATAGAGTGCATAACAAACATTGGTATTTAGTGTAGAACCTTCTCTTACATACTAAAGTAATACTAATTACTAAACAGCTGAAATGAGTGATAAAAAATACAGTGCCCTTCCTTACATTTTGAAGATGTAGTGAGAAAGAAAAAATTTCCAAACCATGACTCTTGTTCCTTTAGCCAGTATACAAAAGAATCACATTTTAAATGAAATCAAACAAGCTATAAATGGCTTTCAATGTAGTCTAATAAAATTTAATTAGCCATAAAAACAGCATAAAAGTGTATATGTGAACACACTCTAAAACCACACTCTATTTTTTTAATCTGAAAATCATAAATTTTAAAATCAGAAAATAATAGAAATATGTGAGAATTTAAGATATTTTCTGCCTCTACATCTTTTGGTCTTATTTACGGAATATTATCTTTTGATATTAATAGTGCTTCTCAAAACAAACATTTTTTTGGACACAGAGATAGCTACTCTTATATCTACTAGAAATATAGGATTAGGGAAAAAATGCTATTTAATTCCAAAGAAGCTACTTGGTCCAAGAGATCAGACTTTGTTGATCAAGTAAGAATAATTAATTTTAAGCTTGTAAAACTTGGATTTTTAGAAAGGCATGGTAGCACACACCTGTAATCCCAACAACTGAGGACTCTGAGGAAGGAGATCACAAGTTTAAAGTCAGTTTCTGCACCTTAGAAGATCCTACTTTAAAATACAAAATAAAAAGAACTAGGGATATAGCTCAGTGGTAGGACACCCTTGAGTTCAATCCCCAATACCATAAAATATTTGGATTTTAAAAATGAAAAACTGAGGGCTGTGGCTGTAGCTCAGTGACAGAGCACTTGTCTAGTACATGTGAAGCAGTGGGTTCGATCCTTACCACCACATAAAAATAAACAAATAAAATAAAGGCTTTCTGTCCATCTATCAACTACCAAAAAAAAGTTTTAAATGAAAAACTGATAATATTTGATCTGCTTCACTAAAAATATTTTAGGTTGAGTCCCAAGGGTTCTCAACTAGGAGCATGTAAAAATTTCTAGGGTATGAAGAGTTGTCTTGTTAGGGAGGAGCTATTGTCACAATGGCAGAAGTGTGGGATGGGTAATACTGGCATTTTAGTGGGCAGAGGCCAGGGAAGTTAAATGTCCTACAATTCACAGAACAGTCCTGCACAACAAACAATTGTCCTGCCTCAAATACCAGTAGTGCCCCAATTGAGAAACACTGTGTTAGAAAAGTTTAATCATTACTGTTCTTAGACTAGGAAATAGCCTTTAGTAGTCTTT